AACACTTATAGAATACCATAACTTCTCTTTTTATAGCAGAGAACAGATATCTGCACATCTTATTTTTATACAAGCTGGAAGGTGGTGGTGCACACCTTTAGTTTCAGACTCCAGAGGCAAAGAAGGCAGATCTCCATGAGTGTCAGGAAAGCTACAGAGCAAGTTCCAGAGCAGTCAGGGTGGCTACACAGAGAAACCCTATCTCAAAAACACAAACAAACAAAAAAGAATAATGCACAACATTTTCCAGGAGGAAAAACAAAGAAACATGAAACATTTGCTCTGATCTCTTCCCTAAAACAAAACCAAAACAAAAAACAAAAAAAACAACAACAACAAAAAAACACTAAAGCATAGTAATTTCTATAGAGAATTTTTTTTTAACTTGTATACCATGAGAATTCCTGGTTCAATAATTGGTTAATTTTTGTATTAGTGTAAGGACATTTTGTTACTTTCTATAAAAACAAAACTTGAAGCATACAAATTGATGATGTATTATGGCTTCAGACCCCAGATGTGTAGGTACTGGAAGCATCATTTAAAAATTTACTTAATTATTAAACTCTCCACCTGCTGCTGTGAGGGATCTTTTCTCTCCTCAATCATTTCGATGCTGCCCTAGAAGGCCTGATCGGAATTACGCTCCTGAATGTTTAGAGTTGGGGCCCAAATAATTGCATTTTCACAACGCCAGTTTCTGCTGCTTCTGACCAGTTCCCTGGCATGCTCCAGCTGAAGGGTTCAGCTCTGCACCAACACTGACGGTGTTTCCAGTCTCTGTGCCAGAGCTGATAAAGGCTTGTTTACGGCACCCACTGCTCCAGTAGCTTGTGGCTGGAAATCAAATACAGGACTATAGACCTTAGGGAGAGACAGTGTATACACTTAGAGACATTGTTTGGTGTAAGCCAAGGGGTGCTGCTACCTTCTTCCTCTATAAGAAATGATTATTCCTTAAAAATGGGCCAGTGAGATGACTCAGCAGGTAAAGGTGCTTGCTGGCAAGCCCAACGGCCTTCATTTGATCCCCAGGACCCACAAAATAGAAGGAGAGAACTGACTCCTAGAAGTTGTCCTTGACCCTCCACATGTGGGCCACACACACACACACACACACACACACACACACACACACTGAAGGAGGATGGAATAAGTGTAAAAACAAGAACATTAAGTGCTATACAGTCCATATGAATTGGGAACTATGAAGTTTGAGTGACATATAGCAAAAGTAATACACATATTGAATTAAAATCCCAAAACAACAAATACATCATTGATATTTGATACAGGTAAACAGAGAGATACCAGTATTTTGCTCTCAAGGGCAGTTTCTTGGAGGGTAGGCAGGCACCCATCAAAGATGGAAAGTGTTCAAAGTAGCTACAATAACCCAAATGCATCATCACTCCCTTCGGCTTTCTGCTGGATCTAGAAGCCCCCTATTCTCACTCCTCCACTCCACCTGTCTGGACCATTCCCATCCCACAAGAACCACGTTAGCCCTTCCCCAGCCTAGCTGCAGAAAGAGACAAGACTAAGCTGAAGGATCGTGCCCTCCTTCTCAGAATCCCACTGCACTTATTTTCAGCTGCTTACTCTTTGTATGTGTTTCTAATCGCTCCACACATCTACCAGTCATGACTATCCTTTAAAAAAAATAAAGAGGATGGACAGATGGCTCAGTGGTTAAGAACACTGACTGCTCTTCCAGGTGGACCTGAGTTCAAGACCCAGTACCCACATGCAGCTAACAACCATCTGTAACTCCCAAGATCTGTGATACTGTCGCAAAGACATAAATGCAGGCAAAACACCAATGCACATAAAATAAAAATGAATACAATTTAAAAATTAAAGAAGTTAATCAGAATAAAAGCAACTTAATGATATTTTTTCTTTTCTGAGAGGTGTTTTTGTCATTGTTATTTGAGTCAGGGTCTTACTATGTAGCCTTGGCCAGCCTGAAACTTACTAGGCAGCCCAGGTTTGCCTAGAACTCATAGAGATCCAGCTGCCTCTGCTTCCCAGGTGTTTAGGATTAAAGGCATGTGACACAGTGCCTGGCCTAATATTTTATGTTTTTCAGTTCCCCACAGTATTAGCTCTTTACATGATACCCATTGATTCAATCCATAAAACAAATATTTCAGAGGTCCATTCTGTAACACACTGTACTGAGGGCCAGAAATTCCCTTCTAAAAATTGACATTCATATTATAGTGAGTTAGTTCCTTTGTTGAAGAGGGAAGTGAGCTGAGGATATAAGTAACATAAATGCTTGCCTAGAACGCATGACCCAGGTTCAGGATGGAGGAAGAGGAGAGAAGAAGACACAAGATGAAAAAGACAATAAATCCACCATCCTAAACAACTCCACACAATGCCCAAACTAATTTAATATCTCATGCCCCACCTCGGTGCAGTTTTCCCATACCAAGGCACTCACTCACCGTGAAATATCTATAAGTTCTGAGCAGGAAATAGCTACGAATACAAAGAATGACTCTGTCATCAGGACCCCACATACTCTACTACAGAAACTCTTCTCAAAGAGCTGGCCTGGAGGACATAGGTTTCCCTGCCGGTGTTCAGAGTGGGAGACCAAGGAGGCACAGAAGTCCAGCTGCATCATGGATGGGTATAGTCTGTGGGTTTGCACCAACAGGAGCCTCGCAGACTAGTACATCAGTGATTCAGAGCCACAAAGCATCCGCAAAGCAGTGGTCAGTGATGCAGACAGAGAGTATAGGCACACAAAGCTAACAGGATTACAGGGTTACAGAGCAATACAAGACACCCCTTGTGGCTGGAGACTTCTGTTGGCTTTACTCATGGACAGTCATGCCAGGGAAAGACTAGACGTCGTTCTACAGCACACAGAGCCCTACCTAGACACTGCTGAGAGTCTATAGAGATCTGTCTTTGAAAAGACGTCACACTAATATGCTCATAGGATCACCTCCATGAAGCTTTTCCACCCTGCTCCCTTTGCATGTTCTAATTTTTTCATCTGGAAATAATAATAGCAGAAGAGAAAACTGGTCTCTGAAATCAAAAACTGGAGTTTAGAAATATTGAGAAACAGCCAGGCGTGGTGACACACAGCTGAAGTCCCAGCACTCAGGAGGCAGAAGCAGGCAGATCTCTATAAGCCTGATCTATATAGTGAGTTCCAGGACAACCAGGGATATGAAGAGAAACCCTGCCTTAAAAAAAACAAACAAGCAAAAATGAACTTGAGACTCAAGAGAGTAAGATGTACAGAAAGAACTGGAGATCCATCCAAGACCAGGACCAAACTGTGAACACAGATGAAGCAGGACTCCTTTCCATGCTCACTCACCTAGACCTCAATCCAAGTATTCCAAGGCAGGACTCAATACATTCATGGAGACTGCATGACAAATGGAGACACTTAGTAAGTCACACAAAATTAAGTGCTATAAGAAGAGAAATAGGCCATGGCACATTAACAATCATTGTGAAACCTTTTAGTATTATTATTATTATTTATTCTTCTTTTTGGTTTTTCGAAACAGGGTTTCTCTGTGTAGCTTTGGAGCCTCTCCTGGCATTCTCTGTAGACCAGATTGGCCTCAAATCCATAGCGATCCTCCTGCCTGGGCTTCCAAAGTGCTGGGATTAAAAGCGTGTGCCACCACTGCCCAGCATGAAAACTTTAAAAAAAAAACATAAAAAAAAAAGTTTTTTTATGTATGGGCTCATACAACAAATGAAGCCAGAATCTACAGGAGTAAGCTTGAAACTGTTCCTTAATGGTCCCTAGATAGCTATATTATACAGTCAAGTAGAAGAGCCATAAATAGAGTGGCCAAGAATATTACTTACATCAGTAAGGGTTGGTAGTACTAAAGTGAATTTTGAATTGTGCCTTACCGAGTTCTTAATTCTGGAGCAGTAGAGAAAACCTATTGATCCCTTTGTTTCCTTACTCAGTAGCAAACTATAGCACTTTGTCAACCCAGAGGATATATAAGAATAACAGACATGAAAAGAAGATGTTAAACCCATTCAAAAGGGGGCAGAGCCCAGCACTGTAGAGTTAAAGTATGGTGCACCGTCCCCTTGAGAGGAATCAGTCACAAGGGTCCAGGCATCCTGCCAGCTTCAAACACACCCAATGTTCCAAATGACAAATAATGGCAGTGGGAGGACGAGGACACGACCACCAGAGCAGTGTGATCCTTCATCTTTTGTAAATATGGCAACATTCTTCCTTCAAAGTAAATGATGAAAAGCAAGAGGAAAATTAACAATTTCATGTTCATTTTGCAAAATCCTGCCTCTTAACCCCTTAGCACACTGCCCTTCGGTCAAGCAGAAATGAACCACAAGCCAAGATCTTAACATCACACTGAGTCCTGTCACAAACTCGTTTCTCCCTACATGATTACCCTGATGCCTCCAAAACTGCAGCTCAGTAAGGCCAGAGTAATCCAAAGTATAACAGGACAACCAGCCAAGGGACAGCTGGCTCTCAGAGCAGTAATGAGACTAGCGATAGAGGCTGAGAGCTGTGTCGCCAATCTCTCTGCGCAGGGTGTGGAAAGAGAAGGGAGTTACGGATGGGAGGTGGATACAGGGGCTTGGCTGCGTTCTCGGAAGCGGGCCACCTCAAGTGTCCGCTCCCCTGTGCAGCGCCGCTGCAGCAAGCGGAGAAACTGAGGATGGAGATGCTCAGCCTGGCCCCGCCCCATCTCTGCAGCGGCTGGGATCCTCCTGTCCCAGGCTGCCGCAACCCAGGGCTGAAGCTTTGCCTGCGCCTTCGGTCGGAGCCTCTGCTCCGGGGCCCTCGCACGCACTCCGGACTCCCGGGGCCGCAGCTCCCCACATCCGGCTGGGGTCGCCAAGGACGCGGGGTCCTCTCGTGGAACACAGGGCTCTGCAGCCGAGGGGCGCGCGAGGCACGCGGCACCCGGCGCTCCCGGGACAAGCTCCGCCCCACTCCGCGCACAGTCGAGGCTGGCACTCACCGGGTCTCGAGTCTCACCCGCCGCTCGCCCTCCCACAGGACGTGGACTCTCGGATCAGTGGCCTCGGAGCCAGGCCGTTCTTTCCCGGCTTCCTGACCCCCCCGCTACGGCGCCTCACCCCCGACCCCCAGCTACGATTGGTCCAACTACGGGAGAGGCGGGGCAGGGATGTTGACGGACAGTCGCGCAAGCAGGGCGCTGTGCCCGGAGGCGAGGACAAGGAGTTGGCACCGCCTGTGCTGTCTGCTGCCACAGGGCTCTAGTACTCGGGTGACTGTGCACCTCCCGCACTCTGGCCCGAGAGCTGGTCCCCTCTGGAAACCCAAATACGGGTGACCGTAGGACATTAGCATTGTCCTGCAGCTTCCCTCAGCAGGATTTTCTGTGCCTGAGAACTAACCACAACGCTGTCCCTGCGGTGATGGAGTTGCTGGTTCCTGGTACCAGAGCATGGGGATAGAAGAGCCTTGAAAGTGTCTTGCTTTGAAGTTAGTCTCTTGGCAAAAGTGACAGAATGCTCCACCCAACCCCATCCTCAATTCTTCATTGTCCTAGTTTGGAGATTTTAACTGGAGAAATGTCAGAAGCAGTTTGGTGAATCTGAGAAGCAGAGAGGACTCCCTAGAGGATAGAAGGGCCATTATGGGACAAAAGATATCTGCTGTGTTTCTCGAAAGTTCAAGGAGCACAGTGGGGTCGGTCTTTTAATCTGAGAAAAAGGCGGGACTGGGGAGGAAGCCCTGATGTCAGATTGTGTCCACAGGTTGAAGAATTAATATGGATTACAACTGGCTTTAATTATCTTTATATTTATTGACCACAGCGCTGTAAGAGCCTGAGGTCAGAGAGTACTTGAAGCAAAACAACTGTCTTTAGGACATGATAGGACTACCGCACTAACGAACTCAAGCACTTGTGGTTGCCTGCACACGACTTGAACAAATCAAACCAACCAACATTCAAGCAGGGTGGGAGAAAGGGTTCATGAGTGCACTCCCTTAACTGAGTTGTTGGTGTCTCCTGGGGGAAGAAGATGCTGTTTTCTTTAAGGGTATGGGCCCTGGTAGGTCAACCACTCTCCAGTGGATGGTCCTACACCTGTGAATATATAGGCAGCACAAATTGGGTTTGTTTGTTTTTATTTTTACTTTAAGAGTGCATAAAGTTATTGAAAGGAGTTGGGGGTGGATCATGGGAGAGTTGAGGGTGAAAATGATCAAAATACATTTCCTGAAGTTCTAAAGAATTAATAAAAATTTACATTAAAAATGTATAGGTTCTGCCAGCACATAGGAGGCAGAGGCAGGCTGATCCCTGAGTTCAAGGCCAGCCTGATCTTTGCAGTGAGTTCCAGGATAGCCCCAGCTACACAGAAAAAATCCTGGCTCAAAAAAACAAAACAAGGTATAGATTCTGAGGCTAGGTACCAAGAGAGTAGCAGGACCCTTCTCTGGTACTTACAAGGCTTTGAGCTTGATCACCATTGTGTCAATGTCAGCTGGCTGGAGAGGTTTCCATTGCTTCTGTCATGCACTGAGCAGCAGTGAGTGGCTGCAAGTGGCACCCTCTGTCGTTAGTCTCTGACCATACCTTGATATCAGAAGCCTATTAGTGTTACAGTCCTTGGTCAGGACCCTTAAGCAGCCTGTATTTACAACTCTCTAGCCTGAGGATTTCCAGCTCACTGGTTCTAGAGCTGGGCTAGCATGTGAGACCTTCTGGCCTGAGGATTTGACAGCTCACTGGTTCTAGAGCTGGGCTAGCATGTGAGACCTTCTGGCCTGAGGATTTGACAGCTCACTGGTTCTAGAGAGCAGGGCTAGCATGTGCTCTTGTTTTGTTCCTTACAGTCTTTTACCAGCTTTCAGTTCTGATTTCTCAACTCTCGCTTCCCCTCTTCCTGCCCTGGAGACTCTTCTGCTTCTTCAGCTGCCAGATAAGCCACTGCCTGACCCTTGATACAACTTGATAGCTGTTGCTGCCCTGACATGGGGTACCTGCCTCTGTTGGGACTGCCTTCTGAGACCAGGGCACTCACCATGTGAGTTGTATGGGGTTGGCTGGACAGAGTGGCACACACCTTTAGTCCCAGTACTTGGGAGGTAAAGGCAAGTTGATCTCTGTGAGTTGAAGGACAACCTCTTACACAGTGAGTTCCAGGACACAGAACAGTCAGAACTACACAGTGAGACCATGGGGTGCCAAGCATGGCCCGTCACTATGCCAGGCATAGGCATCATGTGCTGTGTGTAGAAATAATCAAGGATCATAAGCCAAGGGTTATCTATATTAGTGTCTATGAAGGGCAGGCAATGTTGGGGGCCAAGGCTTATGTTAATACATCTTCAATGCATCCATTCCTTATTTTCAGCTAAAACTTTTGGGGCAGGAAGGGGGATGTCCCACAACTCTTTGCAACTCTAGTTCCAAAAGATCCAGTAGCCGATCCATAGCCTCCTCTGGCCTCTATACGGACACACACTTGGTGCACAGACACTCGTGCAAACTAAACACCCATACACATAAAATAAAAGTAAATCTTAAAAACAAAAACAAAATAGTCATCCAAAAATTATTTATAAAATGTTATAGTGAAATCTGAGCATGCCCAGAGGTATTTGTCCATCATTGTAACAATACCTAGCACTAAGCACACCTAAAATAATGTGTCTATTGTGGGATGACTAAGCCCTAACAGCCGACCTATCTAGATAGCTCCTAACTAATATAAAGAGCATGTGTAGAAAATACTTCCCGAAAGCCGACCTGGGTCAGCCTGGGGGCCTTGACAACAGCAGCCAAGCCATGGCAAGAGATGACATGGACCAAGGAAAAGCAGCCATGTCACATGAGCAGATGCAAACAGAACAGATCCTCCCCCCACTCCCTGGTAGGGTGGAGGGTATATTAGGCTTGTCCCTTCCTTAGTAAACCAAGCTGTCTTCCTCATTGAATCCGTATTTACCTGCCCTCTCCCCTAAGGGCGACCCGTGGGGCCCTGTATCAGTCTATCATTTCTTTTAAATTATGACTTTACACTGATCGTGTTTAGAAATGTACTCCTTAACTGAGGATGCTTCCAAGTGGACTCACCCTCATATGAATATGTACAGGTCCCTTGGATAAATCCCCATGCTTCCTTTGTGAAGAAAGAGCGAGGCTTTGGGAAGGACTCTCTTTATACAATATCAACACTCTGGAGTTTCTGAACTAAAACTGCTCCGAGCTTTACCTACACATTAACTGTGAGTACATGAGTCATAACCGTGGCTGCTGATCACTGAAATAACCAGATGTCACACCCAAATGTATAAAGCTTTTATTTAAAATTAGACTCAAATACAAATGAAGAGTACAGTATGAAATAGTAAACCTTCATCAATCATACTCTAGCCATCTTAGGTTATACACTATAGTAACATTAAAAAAAAATCAAGAAATAGTACAAAATCAAATTTTAAACTCTTATTGCCAACATTAATAATATTCTGAAACACAGGGCTGAAGTGTAGTTAAGCAGTACAGTGCTTGCCTAGAGTGCCAGCACCATACACACACACAGATTATTACAAGAATTGAGTAGCCACTAAAATCAATAAAAGAATTAAAATTCGTTGTGTTTTCTATTCATTCACAGACAAGAAGCACCTCATCCTAAGAAGAAAGTGATGAATTTGATGAATTTCTCTCCAAGGCTATGAGGACGGCCTTGTTTACTTGACTTTTTTTTTTTTTTAATATGGCACAACAGGCTTTATCACTAAAATTTAAAATTTAATGTTTCTATGCCTATAGTCCCAACTACTCTCGAGGCTGAGGCAAAGTATTTATCCTGAAAGTATTTATGGAAAGTACAACTAGACTTGTCTTAAATAGACAACAGGAAAATATACTATTATGATGCTTATATATTTAAAATAAAGGAAAAACATACACTCAACAATGGTACCCATGTAGTTAATATTTAAAATAAACTAAACTAAATAAAGGAAAAACATACACTCAAGAATGGCACTCATGTAATTAAAGAATGAAGTTATTTACAAATATACAACTATATGACCAAACAAACATTTTCTAAAACATGCATATTACAGTGTCCTTTTATAAGAGACATATAAGAGTAAACTACTTAAATATTATCAGCTGCCATGATTAGAATAGAATAGAACAGAACAGAACAGATACTGGTCTGTTGTTCTATAAGAGGCTAGATGAAACATCAAAATCAGTACTTCTTGAGAAAATTGTATCTACTTTGGCATCAACATTACCTGTCATCAAATAAATGCAGTCCCAGTGATTTTTTGTTTGCTTTGTTTTTCAAGACAGAGTTTCTCTGTAGCTTAGAAGGTTTTCATGAAACTCACTCTATAGACCAGACTGGCCTCAATCTCACAGATATCCGCCTGCCTCTGCCTCCCCAGTGCTAGGATTAAAGGTGTGTGCCACCACCGCCTAGCCAGACAGTGATTCTTTCCTGAAGTTTTAACTTCACTATTGCTGTGTTTTGAGACAGAATCCCAGGTAGCCCAGGCTGGCCTGAATCTCACTATGTAGCTAAAGGTGGCCTTGAACTCCTGATCCCCCTGCCTCCACTTCCAAGTGCTGTGATAACAAATGTACACCACCATTCCCTACTGCTACCATTGCTCTTTATAAACAATTGTAATGAAGTCACGTTTGTTTGAAGTACATTCATTCAAAGTTTTGCAAGATGTAGCTGTTTGCTACAATTCGGCTGTTAAAGGTACTCCTTAAAAGTTGTGTTCCTCTTTAAAATACAGAGACTTTCTCCCTCACTAAATGGAAAGGGTAACAGAGAAGGTCTAAGAAAAGTTTGGAATACAGAAATATATCTCCACTGACTGTACAACAGTACACAAGTCGGACATCATCCCCAGGCTTCTGCTTCTACTCAAAACAAAGGAGTCAGTCCCTGCTGTGAGGCCAGTACCTCTTTTGAACTGAATAATAATAATAACAATAATAATAATAACAAAATTCAGTTGACAACTTTAAGATTCCTTTTGACTCTCACATGGTACAAGTTTATGCTTCTGCAGTAATTTAAATTGATAATCAAATATCCATAACTAAGAGAACTTATATGAGGCAAAATAGCATAATTGAACAAAATCTCTCCTGTTAAAAGAAGCCCAAATTTCAGCTCCCTAAACATTACCTGGTCTGTTGCCTCTTCAGCCAATCTAATAAAGAATGCAGTCACATAGTTATTATTTCTTAGTTACATAAATTACTTTTAAATAATTTAAATCAATAAAAATATATTAAATCTATGCCTTAGTTTTCCTACATTCTGATTCTACAGTATTTTCAACTGCATTCAAGATACTCTACAGCTCAAAGCAGGCTAGTTAATAGTCTCACGCTTCTAAAATCTAGTGTAAACAAAAGAAAAGGCAGAATATTAATAATTATCATAGCCTGCCAAAGTTTTCATAAAAATATGTTGAATGCCATTTTTCAGAGTAGAAAAACAAGCAAAACAAATTCTGCTGACAATGTCAATCAGGTCAAATGGCTGTACCTGCCATTAGAAAAAGAAGGACAAAGCTAACGGAAACATAATCAGGGAAACTAAACCATGGCATTTCAGCCATCTTTCTGAAAATTAATTTGAACAGTTTTGGTAACAGCTCAGTAAGATGCTTTTTCTTTAACTGTGGACAGCAAAGGAGGCACTTAACTGCAAAAATAGAAAAATACGAAACTTCCTCATCTCATATTTAAAAAGGAATAAAAGATCAGGCTGAGAATGGCTCGTAGTTAAGGTGCTTACTGCTCCATCAGAGAGCTGGAGTGTGGATCCCAGCACCCACATGGACAGCTCCCAAACACCTGTAACTCCCAGACTCAAGGGAGCTAGCACCAACTTTTGGCCTCCTCCAGCAGATGCGCGCACGCATGTGCACGCGCGCACACACATACACTCTCTTTCTGTCACACACAAACATACATACAAATGCACACACACTTTCTCACAAACACACACACTCTATACATACACTCTACCACACACACACTCTCATATACATACATACACACTGACATACACACTCTCTCACACTCACATACTCTCACACACGCTCTTTCACAGATATGACACACAAATCAAATATTAAAAGAAATGCAAAGTAAAAAAGGTAATTATTATTCAGAGAGTTAAATTTTCACTTCTTATTCACCATGCACTCAAATGTTACACACCCTATATTAGAGAAAATATTCTGAAGACAGGACTGTCGCTCTGTTTATGAAACACAGGAAACACATCCTTTCCAAAGGATTCCGGATTCTGAGGATGAAATGCAAGCCTTCTCAACCTGAGTGCTACATACTTTGTTTCGTTTTTTGAAACAGGGATTCTCTGTGGCTTTGGAGGCTGTCCTGGAACCAGCTCTTGTAGACCAGGCTGGTCTTGAGCTCACAGAGATCTGCCTGCCTCTGCCTCCCGAGTGCTGGGACTAAAGGTGTGTGCCACCAACGCCCGGCCAAGTGCTATGTATTTATAAACTAGGGAAGTACAGCCACCATGATGTACCTGTCAGCAAAGACTACCATGTGGTCCTCAACTTTAATTTGGAAGGAGCAGAACTTTTGTTTTATATACTTCCAGTTAAGGGGTTCTAATGGCTGTAACAGAGTAATTGATGATATTTAGTAACTAAATTTAGAGAACAGAAGTATTGCTGGAATTTTAAAGCACTGTTTGTACTTTGTGCTATTAAATGATACAGAACATTCTAAAATATACAACGCCAAGCTCCCAAATGTCACCTTTGATTTACAGATGTATCTTCAACATTCCAACAAATATTGTCATTTCTAAAAACACAGGTATATTCTTTTTTAGGTTTATTCTTTTCCTTTTCTTTCTTTTTATTTTTTTTTTTTCATTGTTGATGTTTTTCTTGTTTTATTGTTAGGTTTTTCTGTTTGTTTTGAGATAGTGCCTCACATGTAGCCCTGGCTGACCAGGAAATCAGTATGTAGACCAGGTTGTCCTTGAACTCATAGAGATCTACCTGCTTCTGCCTCCCCAGTGCTGGGGTCAAAGGCATGTCCTACCAGACCCAGCCTGGTTTATTTGTTTATTTTTTTTAATCACCACAATTAAATTGTCTTTCAAAGGTGGCACTTTTCAGTGATTAGATGAAAACATCCTTTTTAAAAATGCATTCCCACATTCTCCCCCAACCCCCATGGTTTCTCTAAAGGGCAGACAAGCCCTTTCCTGTCTCCTCACCCCTTCTGCCCTGTCTCTGTGTCTCTTACCTTTTTCCTCTTTCCTTATTTTCTTATCTCCCCCTCAATAAAACATTCAATATGGGGGGGGGGGAAATGCATTCCCAATCTATCAGTAGCAGGATTTTAAACGTTCTTCACTTTGGGACAATGGTCAAGAGTGAAGTAAGGACAGAGACACAGCTCAGTGGCACAGTACTTACCTAGCATGCACAGGGCCCTAGATTTGGTCCTCTCTCTCTCTCTCTCTCTCTCTCTCTCTCTCGCATACACACACACACACACACACACACACACACACACACACACACACACACGGTGAAAAATGAATAATTTTGGCCCTTCTAGTGGAATACATAAAGAAATAAAAGCAAGAGGGACTGGAGAGATGGCCTCAGAGTTTAAGAGCACTGACTGCCCTACCAGAAGTTGAGTTCAATTCCCAACAACCACATGATGGCTCACAGCCATCTATAATAAGATCTGGTGCCCTCTTCTGACATGAAGACAGAACAGTATATACATAATAAATAAATAAATCTTTTTTAAAAAGAGAAATAAAAGTAAGGAACATAATGATGAATGCATTCTGATTTCTTACAACATATTTCTTCCCAAACTATTGGCACATAAATGTCAGTAGGCTACAAAAGCAGCATTATTTCAAGTGATAAATCTCAGTTCTGCTTTCTCCATATCAAAGAGAAAATCCTTGCCCAAGTAAGCCCAAGTAATCCTATATGGAATAATTTACTTCAAAACTGATCTACAAATTAGCTAAAGTTTGTCATGAGGCAACTTAATCACCCCACTTAAAAATCTCATAATCTAGAGGTTAAGCTGATAGTTGAGTGTCAAAGCACACGCTTACCATTCTCAGGGCATTCTCTGGTTTAACCGCCAGCACACACATGCACACACACACACACACACACACACTCCTATAAACCTATTCTCCCTAAATGTTCTTATATAAGAAGGCTTTCTTCAACTCAAAGGGGGAAAAACATTTTATGTCCAAGGAGACTGTCCAGCCAATTTCAGTGGTTCATAGTCCTCATATGCTTTACATATATATTCTTTACTATGTAATTAAGAAGAACCAACTTCTCCTGTTAAAATTGCCAAAACTACTTCAAGAAACTGTTTTTGAAAGGAAATATGTAAAAGAAACATTGTTGGTGTCATTATTAAGAAATAAAGTGCATATGCCTTTTAATATCAATATTTTTAGTACATTAGTACAATCAAAACGAAGACTTAGCTCAATATCTCAAATCTGAAAAATATGGGGGCAAGAATACAAGTTTCATATAAACAATAACAAAATGGGGGAAGGATTGCTCCTTTGCAAAAGAAAAGAAACAACTGAAAACATTAAGAAATCCAAGTGAGTTTCTGTCACTGCTACACAATGACACCCACATGCAACACCTGAAATGTAGCATCACATTCCGGGGACTGCCCTTGAACGTCTGCACTTAACTCACATTTCTCTGGTGTCTGGCTAATCCCATCCTGTAAAATGGGAGATACTCTGTGAGCCTCACTATGAGATGAGGCATCTAAGCTTTCCGGAGAACAGTCTACCTGGTACATACTGTCTCCTGCCACATCGTCCTGAGAACAGGCTACGTGGTACATACTGTCTCCTGCCACATCGTCCTGAGAACAGGCTACGTGGCACGTACTATCTCCTGCCACATCGTCCTGGACACCGTCTATCTCCTGCCACATCGTCCTGAGAACAGGCTACGTGGTACATACTGTCTCCTGCCACATGGTCCTGAGAACAGGCTACGTGGCACGTACTATCTCCTGCCACATCGTCCTGAGAACAGGCTACCTGGTACATACTGTCTCCCGCCATATCGTCCTGAGAACAGGCTACGTGGCACGTACTATCTCCTGCCACATGGTCCTGAGAACAGGCTACCTGGCACATACTGTCTCCTGCCACATGGTCCTGAGAACAGGCTACCTGGCACATACTGTCTCCTGCCACCTCGTCAGAGTCTGTCCTCTGTTCGGCGTCATCTAGCTGCTGGACTGAAGTTAAATACTGTTCGAGCAGCGTGTTATCCTGCTCACTGTTGGAGCTTTCCTTACTACAGCAACCATGCTCCTCAATCATGGCCTCTGAGCTGGGGTCTCTGCCGTGTTTCACTGTGTCCATGGAATTCCCCAACATGGAGCTTTCGCTGCTTTCTATGGAACTTTTTCAAAATCCAAAGAATCCTTCAAACATCGAACTTGATCTGTTAGGGAGGAATGAAAACCAGAGTCTGGAAATTCCGGAAGAGATTTCTCTTGAGGAGCTTCATCCTCAGCAATGAACCAATCAGAACTCTGATCAGAAGAGGGGCCTTGACGTTGTGGGAAATAATGGAGGTTTAGGTGACACCAGAGTACTTGATATAGGAGGCACATCAGTATGCCAGGAAATCAGACGCTGCTCCACTGTCTGCTGCCAAGCTTGTAGAGATCTTACCTGTAAACCAGAAGGCACAGCTTTATCATAAATAAGATTTTTAAAAAATCCTCCCTTTTGGCCTGGCGGTTGTGGTGCACTGGGGAGGCAGAGGTAGACTGATCTCTGGGAGTGTGATGCCAGTCTGGTCTACAGGCTGCAAAGCTATAGAGAAACCCTGATTCAGAAGACAAACAAACAAAACTCTTCCCTTTTTAAAATGGCCTGAGCTTTGTTTTCCCAGAAGTCCTGTGATTGTCTTCATTCGTTACTCCCCTATCCTCTTCATAGGCCTCCCAGCCTAACCAGGCATCCACACTGTTCTGTGTCCTTGGGAGTAAAGGGCAATCACCAACACAGAGAATTGCCAAAGCAATTCTCTTGCTTCACTGGAAAAACAATGAGAAGTACAATAGCATTTTAGCTCTCTAACTAAGGGTCAATGATGCACAGAATATAGACTGGCACCTAGTCAATAAGGCCCATTAGCATCTGAGGGTATAAGTAGAGCCTCTAAAATTGGTTTATTTTAGATATACTTGCAGACATAGATTTCCAGTTATTTTAAAATGTAGTATTTATAACTTTATAGAATGGCTAAAAATATTCCCAAGTTCTTGACAATATGACATTTTATATCTTAATATATAAAAATAATTTCAAATTTTTATTATAAAAAGTGGACAGGGCAGTGGCAGCGCACGCCTTTAATTCCTGCACTCAGGAGGCAGAGGCAGGTGGATCTCTATGAGTTTGGGGCCAGCCAGATCTACAAAACAAGTTATAGGACAGCCAAAGCGATTACACAGAGAAACCCTGTCTCAAGAAACAATTAAAAAAAAAAAAAAAAAATGCAAGCAAGAGGTAGGAGGGATGGCTCAGTGGTTAAGAACTCTTGCTACTTACTCTTCCAGAAGACCAGGGTTCAGTTCCCAGCATCCCCACAGAAGACAGCAGATCACAACCATCTGTAACTCCAGGTTCTAGGGTTCTACTACCCACTTCTGGCCCCAAGGGCATTGTACACATATAGGGTACATTACATACATGCAAGCAAAACACCCATATACATAAATCTCTCTCTCTCTCTCTCTTTTTTTTTTTTAATTGCCGGCAATATAGAGTAGCTCGGCTGCCTAGCATGCATAAGGCCCTGGTTTCAAGCCCCAGAAGCACATGAGTCCGTTGTGATGGTGCACATCTATAACCCAACCAATTGTGATGTGCAGGCAGGAGGATCAGGAGTTGAAGGCCACCCTCAGCTATAGAGAGTATATGGCTAGCCTGGACCACATGAGAACTCTCAAAAATAAATAAAACAGAATTCGTCTCACTGTGACTACCAGGTTCTCACTACATAGCCCTGTGCCATCAAGTACTTTCTGATATTGGTTGGGAGTATATCTTTCCAGGGCTTTTACTATATAGTCTCATATACTTACAGTTTTAATAATTTAAATTACTCTTTAAATTTCTGTATGAGGGCACACACATGCTTGTGGAAGTCAGAGGACAACTTGCAAGAGTTGGTTCTTGCATTTCATCGTGTGGTCCCAGGGGCCAAACTCAGGTTGTCAATATTGGTGACAGGCACCTTCACCCAGTGAAGTACCTCACTGGCCCTCAGAGAGCTTTTAACACCAAGTGGATGTGAAGCTCCATCTCTTACCATTGTTAGTATTATTCTAGAGCTCTTTCCAGGTCAGTCCCTATGACTACTTTATCCTTTTTAATTGTCCCACAATAGTCTATAGTGCTGTTAATTTTTACAATTTATTTAACCAGTTCCCTACTAATGGTAAATAAAAATTCTTAAAAGTTAATTATCTTGCCAGGTGATGATGATACTCAGAAGACAGAGGCACACAGATCTCTGTTGTGAATTCAAGGCCAGTCTGGTCTACAGAGCGAGTTCCAGGACTATTAGGTCTGTTACACAGAAAAATCCTGTCTAGAATAGCCCCCCCAAAAAAATTATCTTAATATATAGGTTGTATATAGTTATAACCTTTTTATTATGATATTTCTAAGAAAAGAGATATTTCTAAAATTTTTTAAATATTTCTAAGAAATTATCAGGAAATTTTTTTATTACAGTATATCACTGTAATATTTTAGAGTTTTGCCATACTAGTAAAACCAAAGGTTTAAATGACTTTGGGCGAGGCAGCGATGGTACACGCCTTTAATCCCAGCACTTGAAAGGCAGAGGCAGGTGGATCTCTGTTGAGTTAGAGGCCAGCCTGATTGACAGAGTTCCAGGACAGCCAAAGTTACACAAGGAATCAAAAAGATTTTGGTCTCACTAGGCATTTTCTATGTTTACATATACAGAAAAATCAGCAGCGGGAGTTTACCTCATTCCAAAGGAATCTGACAGCCTCTTCTTGTACAAAAGTTTTTACACGTTCTTCATCTCTTTCTTTTCTTAATCTACAATGATTCAAAAGATCATGATGACATAAGGAAGAATGCTTTGACTTAAACTTCCTGTTACTAACAACTACTAAGCAAATGCATTAGAAAGAGATTAATGACCTAATGTCAACTGCTTCCACTGTTAGAATATCTAAGCTCTAACTTTATTTAAAACTATGCTTCAAGACAAGCCAGATGAGATGTATCTGAAACTGAAATTACATATTCATTCTACAAAGTATTACTAAAGGGGAGATGTTTACATAAGTGTGAGTATGTGTACATATGCTTATGTATTAAATATCTCTCTATTTGTCCTTCAATAGTGGCCTACAAAAGGCTGGTTATACAAAGATTCCAAAAGTTAACAGTCACACTTGTGGGATGTTCGTGTTCTGCATGCTCCAAATACAGGACAGGAAGGAAGGCAACCTCTAAGGCCTTGAAATATTTACCTGAGCAGACTATCTTTGTAAACCTGAGGTATTGAGTTGCACTAGAGTTTACACTAACAATGTGATTCCTAGTGAAACCCTGTTTTGCTCCTCCCCTGAGACCCTCAGAGACCAGTTTACCTCTAGGGAATGAGAAATCTAAGAAAGGTCACTCACATGAGCACTGAGTGCCTAAATTACTGACCCCAATAAAAACCATGGCTCGAAATGCTCAGGAAAGCGTTTCTAGTTGGTACTACTTTGTAAGCATCATCACACATTCCAGCGATGGGAAGTAAGTCCCGGACCTCTATGAGTTAACTGGGAGAGGACCTCTAGAAGCCTGCAACCTGGTCTGCCCTGTTTTAATCTGTATGTATCTGCTATAATAAGCAGCAACCATGAACAGAACAATTCCTGCGTTCTGTAAGTCCCTTTAGCAAATCATGGAACCTGAGGACAGACGTGAGGGTCACCAATTACAGCAATGGCTAAATCTAGCATCATTTCTCTACCCTTCACTTCTCTACCCTCTCACTTCTCCTGAAACATTTTGCCCTACTGGAACTGAATATAATAAACTCTCTTGGCTGTTCCTTCTCAGGCTCCTGTGCTATTTTCTCCTAAGCCACCTATAACAATAATAGACACCATTAGTTCCAATATTAATGAACTCCTAATTGTTGTAGGTTGGCAGTCAGCCAAACATATGCCTTGGAACTGAGGAATAATTCCTACCTTAGTCCCAGAGTTTTAGTCCCTTTGGAATCCCTGATATTTTTCTCTAGCTCTTACATCATCTAATTGGTTCTATGTGGACTTTCTCTTCATCCTCATCCAGTTCTTCTACACTATCTACTTCTTTGTTGAGCATCATAGATGCCTATGTGGTCACAGCCACTCAACATCTCAACATCTTCTGTGATACTACAAGTGTGTACCAACTGCTATGCTGAGAATGGAGATACATATGGCAATTTGTACTCTCATGATGCTTCCAATACATCATTGGAGATGAGTACACCAACAGCGGCCACCTAGTGTCATGACCACAGTAGCAGCGTTCTAAAACAACTTCAGAACCGGGCATTCCAAGCCAACAGAAAGCAAGCACAGTTCCCAGCCTACCTCCTTACTTCATCTGTCAGGCAGACAATGTGCTCCTGCATTCTACGCAGCCGGATTTCATAGCGTACCCCTTTGGCTTGTGGATTGTAGTTCCTGGTATAAAAGCCCCGCCAACAGGCCTGAAGCTTAGTGGCAGCTGCATTCCGTTTCTGAAGAGTGACTTTATCTTGTCCCAAAGCAGCAGATCTCTGGGTAAAAACCCTGCAGGGAGATTTCTCTGAAGTGGTAGGAGACATGGTTTCTTCACCGTTTGGGTCTATGCGGGACACACTATGTTCAACTGCCTCCGGGAAAGATGTAAGACCATGCTTATCCTCCTTCAACAGCCCAGAATTCTCATCTACTTCCTTACTCATCTTACTTTTCAGCATTTGAACAGAACTCTCATTTGTATCCCATAAAGGCTTTTCCTTGTCCTGGTTTTCCAGCCTTTTCATGGATTCATCTGCAAAATCATCATCATCTTCTAGACCCAAGTTGATGCCCTGCAGCCTCAGCTCAACAGTGGGTGACACTGGAGACAGCCCTGATGCAACCGGCATAAAAGTGGACTCTGAAGAGAGCAGACTACAGTTTAGTTTGTCCTCATCTGTCTGTATGTCTTCCAGGTGAAGGTCATTCCGAGCATATCTTGTAGGGTGTGCCGACGCTGGGAAGTTATTCTTCACAGCATATAACTGATCATCATTACTGCTTATCCCAACCCAAGAATTGATTTGGAGAACAGGTTCTAGAAGAACCAAAAGAGCATCATTTAAATCACCAAGTATTTGAAGAGCTTTTTATTTTCTTGAAGGATGGGGGGCGGTTAGAGACATGGTTTCTCTGTGTAGCTTTGGAGCCTATCCTGGCACTCACTCTGGAGACCCAGCTGGCCTTGAACTCACAGAGATCTGCCTGCCTCTCCCTCCTGAGTGCAGGGACTAAGGGCATGTGTCACCACCACCCAGCTGAAAAGTCTTCTCAGTTGTATACTTAAAACATTTTTTTACATTTATTTATGTTCTGTGTGTGAGTGTGTGTGCATATGTGTGTGTGCATATGTGTGTGTGTGCATATGTGTGTGTGTGCATATGTGAATGTGTGTGCATATGTGAATGTGTGTGCATATGTGTGTGTGAGTGTGCGTGCATATGTGTGTGAGTGTGTGTGTGCATATGTGTGTGTGATTGTGTGCGTATGTGTGTGTGAGTGTGAGTGTGTTTGTGTGCATATGTGTGTGTGAGTGTGAGTGTGTGTGCATGCATGCCATAGTCTGCATGCAGAGGTCAAAGAACAACTTGTAGTACTCAGTTTCCTTCCACCACGTGGGTTTGAGGGGTTCAACTTTGAACTCAGGTTGGACATCAATCACCTTTATCCACTGAACCATCTCCCTAACCCCTTGGTTGTTTCCTTTTAACAAAATTTAATCCCTAAAATATAGTAAAGGACAGTAAAGTGATTGCCTCCAACAGGACTAAAATGTCAAACCAAACATTTTTAAGAAAATAAATTTCTTGGTGCTGGAGACATGGCTCAGTGGTCAAGAGCACTGGCTGCTCTTACACAGGACCTGAGTTTGATTCCCAGCACCCATATGGAGGCTCACAGTGGAATTCCAGTTCCAGGGAATCCGGCTCCTTCTGGCCTCTGTAGACACAGACATACAAACAGCAAAACACACGTACACATAAAAAAAATAAAACAGAGCCAGGCACTGGTGGCGCACACCTTTAATCCCAGCACTCAGGAGGGAAAGGCAGGCAGATCTCTGTTAGTTCGAGGCCAGCCTGAGCTACAGAGCTAGTTCTAGGACAGGCTCCAAACAATACAGAGAAACCCTATCTCAAAAAACCAAAAAAAAAAAAATCTTATTTAAAAAAAAGGAAAGTGATTTGTTAAAATAGGGGTGGTGGCTCATGCCTAAAATTCTAGCACTTGAGGACAACATTACTAAGTCTATACAAAGATAACTGTCCACAAAATGTTTTTGTTTTGTTTTTCTTTTACTGTGCATATGTCTATGTCCATGAAGCCCAGAAGAGCGCACTGGATCCCTTATAACTGAAGTTAAATTTGAGTGAGCTACCTGATGTGGGTGCTAGGAACTGAGCCCTGGTCCTCTCGAAGACCAGGAGGCGCCCTTAACTTCTGAGCTATATCTCCAGCCCCACAAGAAATCTCTTTTAAAATATGGGGCTGGGAGGGTGTTGAGATGGCTCAGCAGTTGAGAGCACTGGCCACTCTTGCAGAGGGCCCAGGGTTCAGTTCCCAGCACCCACCTGATAGTTCACAACTGTCTGTGACTACAGTTTCAGGGGATCCAATGCCTTTCTGACCTCCAGACGCCTGTGTGAATACAGTACACATTAGCACCCTCACACTTGTTGGGAGACCCTGCTGGTCAGAGATTGTAGTCTACCATAGCCTGGCAGCTTTCTCTAAACTTGGCAACAGGGAGGGACTCCCCCTGCCCCCATGGGGACTTCCTACTCTCTACCTGCCCTTATTTGAAGGATGTTTCTAGGCCCAGAAGCCTGACTTACCTCAAGCATGACACTTGACATGGTTCCCTGCAAACACTCTTCGCCTGTGGTAATTAGTAACATGCTCTAGCCATTTCACAGGATCATTGGTGTCACTAACCCAGCCTTGTAATAGGAGCATGCCACTTAAAGCAAGTTAGGATTTGCCCCCAGGCTTCCCAATCCTATATATTCCTTATATCCTGGGATAAAGGTGAGCTGATTCACTAAAGTCATCTCCTAGAGGACTATCTCCATCATACCCACAGCCATCCGAACCCTGATCCCTGCTTCTGTACCCTCCAACCTCGAGGGCCAGTGCAACCAACAATCCTAAGGAAGAAGCAGAACAACACATACATGCATAAAGTAAATATCAAAAAAAAAAAAAAAAAAAAAAAAAAACAGAGGAAGAGAGTCAGGAGGATTTGAAACAAGTTCAAGACCAGCCTGGGAGCTACATGGTGAGTTTCAGACCAATCAGAGCTACATAGAGACACCCTGTCTGAGGCAAACTGTTTTTTGACCCAGTAGGTCTATGAGTTGAAGAAAAGTAGTGAAGCAAGCCGTTCTTGGGCATTGGGTATAAATGACTTCCTTACCGCTTTCCTGGAAGTCTTGAACAGGGCTGGAGCGCTCAGGTGTAAGGGGTACCCTTGTTTCAACAGGAGCAAGAGGAGACAACTCTTCACTTTGGCTTTGGTTCATCAACTGCCTCTGGTGAAACCTAGAAACCAATAACACCTGCTGTCATCTCCACAAACTAAGAAGAGATGCTCTTCTGCCTCCTCGGTTAACACACTAAGACAGAAACTTAAGAAGTCTGCAGGGCTATCTTTAGCCACTGGCAAACTACAGTTTCCATTGAAAGCACTGTGTAGAAAAAGTTGAGATTTTTTTTTTTTTTAATTGTTTGATAAAGATAGGGATGGCAACACATGCCTATAAAGCCAGCTCTGTGGCAACAGAAACAGTAGTTCAAAGTTACCTTCTCCACACAATGAGTTGAAGGCCAATCTAGTTTACATGAAACCCTGTCTCAATCTATATAATTAATTGTCCACATGACCTTACACAAACACAATTTCATATGCAAAAACACTGAAAGACAGGATCTCTGACAAGAGAGGTGATTACTAAACACACTGACCATGCTTGTTAATATCAGCATTAACATGCTCCATGAGACACCTATATTAAAAGGCCAAATACTTTTCTTAGGTGTTGTGGCTCAAACTTAGGGCCTAACACATCCAAGGCAGATCTACCACTGGGTTACAACCTTGGCATTGACAAATCTCCCATTCTGTTATATTGCTTGGCTCCCCCTTCAAGAACTGATTAGCAAAGCAACTGTCATGGAACAAGCCACACACACCATGTGGCTCAGCTTCTCTGCAATGATGAAAGGCCTGAGTATCCAGAAGTGTGCTCTCCTGCCACAGGAAAGTCTCAGGTACCTTCACTCTAAATCCCTCAGCTGCCACAGATAAACAAACAGGCTTACCTCTGTTTACTCAGAATCTTCTCTAGTTTGGCATCCTCTGCAGTTTGAAGACCCAGTGCAGAAGTAAGAGAACAGACAGTAGCCAGGTACTGCGCAAGCTGGATGTGCTGGCCAGGCCGATATGCCCGCCCCTTGCCTTGACTGTAGAGCCATTCAGCTTTCAAACTGGGAAATAAGGAAGAGGTGGTGGCTCAGGAGCAGTCAAAATACATTGTTGAGTAACAGTGACCTGCCTTCGAATTTACCTTATAACACCACTACATGATTTCCTTAAAAAAAAAAAATTGTCCATCTTATTGCTTATTGATGGGTAGTGATGGTGGTGGTGGTGGTGGTGGTGGTGGTGGTGGTGTGTGTGTGTGTGTGTGTGTGTGAGTGGTGTAAGTTCCTGAGTGTACACATGTGTGTAAAAACTCATGCATATATGCAGTAGAGGCCAGAGGTGGAGGCTGAGTATCTTCTTCTATTGCTCTCCATTTTAATTTCTGAGACAAGGGAACTCTCCCAGCTCACATTTCGGCTAGGCTGGCTGGCTAACTATCTGCTCATCTTTACCTCCTCAGCAAGGAGATAACAAACATGTGCTACAATCCCTGGTTTTCCATCTATATTCCTAACTCATTTCCCTTGGTCTTATATTTTAATTTCTATCATAATTAGAGGCACTGTTCATACTAATAACTCCAAATATTTTAAAATAATTTTCAAAGCAACAATGAGCATTCTCTCCATTTACTTTGCCAAACAGAAGTAATCTATGAGCTCTCAATGGCAGTTTTAAAAAATATCTAATTGGTCATTCCTTTTTTTAAACTGGTAAATAGTAGGAATTAAATAGTGTTAATTCTTCATTTCCTATACAAAATCTGTCAATAAATACTTAGTTCACATAAGTAGGGTAACTAATAAAATGGACAGAATTTCATCATTTTGTAACCTTTAATGAATTAATGGTTTCAGGCATGGATCATGAGTAGCTACTAATAACAAAATAGCATCTAGACACTGAGTATGATCCCATAGTATCTACAGAGTAGTCCTCCCTTTGAAACCTCAGAAGTAGCTGGGCACGGTGGTATACACATTTAATCCTAGTGCTTAGGAGACAGAGGCAGGCAGATGTCTGTGACCAGGACAGTCTAGTCTACACAGTGAGTTCCAGGACAGCCTGCGCTATGTAGAAAGACCATGCCTCAAAAATAAATAAATAAATAAATAAACAGATAAATAAATAAAACCTCAAAACCAAGTCTGATCACATCATCATGCCCAATCACCAATTTTTAGGTGATACGGGGGAGAGGAAGAGGACAAACACACAGGAAATGGTCTGAGAACTACCAAGTTCTCAGCATAGCCTACCTATGGAGTATGCAACTGTAATAAACTACTGGTGTTATTTTTGTTGTTGCTTTTGGAGACAAGTTCTCAAGTAGTGGGGTTGACCTTGAACGTTCTATAGCTGAAGCTGGCCTTACTGCTTCCCTCTCCCAAGTGTTGTGATTACCAACTTGCTTGATATTTTAAGATACTAAAAAATTAGAACAGGCTGACGCTGTGGTTTACACGGTAGAGCATTGGTCTAGCATGCATGAATACTTGGATTCAATCTCAGGACCATATGAAGCCAGCATGGAAGCAGGCCTGGAATCCAAGCTCTGAGGAGGTGAAGGAAGAGGGATCAGATTACCCCCTGGCTATATAGAGACCCCACGAACAGCCAGGCTACACAAGACACTGTCTCAAAAGAGATAGAAATTTACCATCATAATATAAGATATGCCTCCTGGAAACAGTATTTTCTTGTCCTTTTTTTTTTTTTTTTTTTTTTTTTTTTCCATTTTGGTTTTTTGAGGCTGGGTTTCTCTGTGTAGCCCTGGATGTCCTGGAATTAGCTTTGTAAATTAGACCAGCCTTAAACTCACAAAGATCTGCCTGCCTCTGCCTCCCAAGTGCTGCAATAAAGGCATGTGACCACCACCCAGCTCATATTTTCATTTTAAAATGCATTTATAGGGTCAGCAAGATAACTAAGCAGGTAAAAGCACTTGTTACTCAGACTTAATGTCCTAAGTTCAACCCCTGAAACCTACATAACAGGCCAGATTCAGTGGAATGCACCTGTTCACACAGCATTCTACAGCAAGAGACAGAAACAGAAGTGCCAGCAGGTAGTGGGACACCAAGCCTGAAGTATGAAGCAGAAACAAAAACAGAAACCAAGGAGGTAGGGGAAGACAGCCATCTCCCAAAAGGATTTTTCAAAGTTAAGGCTAAAATTGTACTGAATCCATGAATGCATATTTTCTGAGGGCAGAAAAATGAAAGGAGGCATGTTAAAGAGAATAATCCATCAACCTTTCTATCTCCACATCCCAATTTCCTGAAGGCTCTGACTAAAAGCTCCAATGATCATGCAACAATCTCTAAAAGACACCGTCTTGGTGGGGCCAGGTTCCCAGCTCCAAGACCATCAGTGACTAAGGATGGTCACAGGCATCAGAAGGTGAGAAACAGTATAGTATATCTACTTCAAGTTCCAAATTAAAACACCATGTGCAGTTTCCTAGGGGCATCATAAAAGGCCACTGGGTTCTTAAATATTATTAATACCCCCCTTTACACATATGATAGATAGCCAATAGCTTTTGTGGGATTAAGCCGAGATCTTATATCAAATACATAATGAAGTTTCTAGGAAAGAAAGTTACCATTTCCAAGCAATCACCAAAAGAACTTTTAGAACATAGATCGTTGTAAGTTTGGCATATAAACTTACTAGTTCCAACTTCTAGGGCTGATATTCACTTTTTTTTCATTAATATTTTTATTTTATGTATGTAAGTATTTTACCACATGCATTTGGAGGACATAAGAAAGTAGAGACTCACCAAGAACTAGAATTATAGTTGTGAGCCACCATGAGGATTTAGGGACTAACCCAGGAAGACCAGCCAGTGCTCACACCAGCGGAGCCATCTCTCCCTCGCGCAGCCCACCTCCTCTTTTCATATATAACTGCTCTGGAGTTGAGTATGATTTGAATTTCTGATCCTCCTGCTTCCATCTCTCCAGAGCTGGAATCCCAGGCATGCACCACCATGGCCAGTTTTAAGAGAAAACCAAGGCTTTGAAATCGTCTCAAGTGAAACAGGAGCTTGCTCTGTCCTGACTAGCCAGCAATCCATCCGTTTCTGCCACTCCTCCCCCATGCCAGGGTTATGGGTAAGAGAAGCCATACTTGGCTTTTTATATGGGTCCTGGGATTCAAACTCAGGTCCTCATTCTTGCAGAGTGAGAGAGAGTTTCAAACATGGCAGGTCTTACGTAGCCCAGGCTGTCCCAGGACTAACAATGTATCCCTGGATGACAATAACCACCTAATTCTTCTACCTGTGCTTCTCAAGTGCTGGCATTACTTGCATGTGCCACAACACCTGGCTCCCAGCCCTGATGTTTACCTTCTGGACTTTCTAAGAGAGAAGAGAAAATCCTAAATCACCAGCAAACAGTCTGAGCTGTGGTTATACCAGCATTTTAAACTTGTAAACACACACTTTAAAAAATTCAACAATTAATCTGTAACAAACTAGAAATGATCTTTCCAAAAAATTTCTTGATTGATACCACATTAGGCAGATCATGTTCACCTTTCCTTCTGAGAAATCACGTATCCATCTAGTACTCTGAGATTTAAGCACCAGCTGACGATGTACGGCCGATAGTCAAACCCTGGAATGGACGGTGTTGCCATCACACAAGGATTGTTCATGATTGACAACTGCTCCAATTCACTTAAAGAGGCCAAAAACGAGATCTAAAACAAAAGACATCCTTGTTGAGCAAAATGAATGTTCAGTGTCAAGCACAGGGTTTCCGCTGATTACATAATTTTGGCAGCATTTGAGAATGTCACAATTTCCCTCTTGTCCTAAAAAAGCATAAAGCAATTCTCTACTATTAGCCACTGACTGTGGAAACTCTAAAAACCTGGCCATTTGTCCTTCCTGCACAAGAGAAAGTATCAGCATTATTTTCTACTTAAGAAAACCTTATCTACTTTCTTTGAGGTAGGGTCTCATTTAACCCAAGCTGATATTTAGCTTTATTCCTCCTGTTTCTACTTACTAAGTGCTGATGTTACAGACGTAAAGGACTTTGCCTAGTTTGAGAAAGTGATATTTGAAAACATAATAGAAGCCAGGGAAAAGCTGCCTTATTGGCCCCTAATATAAGGTAGATATCTCTCTCCTACCAATCACCAGTGATGATAATTGCAGCACTACAACTGGAATTCAGCCTGATGACCTCCAGGGTTAAGAAAAAGGAGAAAGAAAAATACTGATGCTCTAGTGACAGGTGTTTCACCAGGGAAGCAATTCTCCCAGATGGTCACAGTCTAAAAATGAGCTCGAGATGCCAGGCGGTTGCGGCACACACCTTTAATCCCAGCACTCAGGAGGCAGAGGCAGGCGGATCTCTGTGGGCTCAAGGCCAGCCTGGTCTACAGAGCTAGTTCCAGGACAGCGAAGGCTGTTACACAGAGAAACCCTGTCTCAACATTTCCCCTCTCCCCCTGCCCCATTGAGCTCAAGAACCTCTACTGTCTCTACTGGACTTCTCCTTCCTGAATCCCACAGAGTCTGGACTTTTTCCTTCCTGGATCCCACAGAGTTCTGGATTTCCCCTTCCTGGGTCACAGAGTCTGGACTTCCCCTTCCTGGATCCCAGAAGGAAAAATCCCAGAGTCAAATTTTACCTCATTTAAGTCTCGGATTTCATTTTCTGCCAGAGACAATATAGAAAGACTTCTGGGTAGATACGCAGGTGCCATTCTAAGAGAGGTGATGATGTTCCCATGTAAAAGCAGGGTCTTCAAAGGAAAAAAAAAATACAAATCAACAAATTAAATAAATTGAATTGACAATGCCAAAATGGTGCATGCAAGAATAAAAAGAGCTATTTTATTATACTTCTCATCACACATAATTCAAATATTAATACTGAGAAGGCTCCTGGTTTTTAGCCCAACAAGGGTTTAAGGCTTGTCCATGAACACATAGTTGATGTAGTTACTATCTAGTTATGGTATGATGTACTAGCATGCTACACAATTTAAGTTAATACACAAAGCAATTTCCAACATAGTTATTCATTTCCTTTTAAAATATCAAAATAAAGATGAGTGTGGTGGCACATGCCTTTAATCCCAGCACTCTGGAGGCAGAGGCAGGTGGATCTCTGTGAGTTCAAGGCCACCCTGGTCTACATAGCCAGTTCCAAGATAGCTTCATAATAAAAAGACTCTATATTTAAAAAAAAGAAGAAGAAGAAGAAGAAGAAGAAGACTCAGCTTTAGGATGGATTACTTCAAACTTTACCAGAATATTATATATCGACTACAGCCCCTAGCTTTGGCTAGCTTAAAATGAAGGGAACTCATCACAATCAAAGGATTCGAAATAAGAGGTAATTAACTACAATGACTATTTTCACATAAAATAAATAAATCAAATATAGGAACTAGCAATCAATTTGGGAGGCATAAGCACTCTTATACCTCAAGATTACATAAGTAGTCTTGAGCTCAGGTAGCCAGGGCAATACAATGAGAGTTTGTGTCCAAAAGAGAACAGAAAAAAAAAGTTCCTAAGTTTTTAAAACAAAGACAACTTGACATGCATATCAGCAAACACCTGTAAGTCCTGCATTCTGGAAAGAGGGAGAAAGAGCATGATGACCCTGAAAGGTTAGCCTGGGCTTTCCTGGGAGCCCCTTCAAAAGGAGACAGATAGGTTCTTAACATATAGTATATGCGGGCTGAGTTCATGCAACAAGACCACATTTTTAGTAGCGTTTTTATTTTCGGTAATTTGCAAGAAGTGCAGAAGACCCACTTACCTTCAAAGACATCAGCTTTGACAGATCACCTATCTGGGATATGTTATTGTCTGACAGGTCAAGGTGCTGTAGAGCTGTGCAGCTGTTGATTTGCTCCATGGTCTAGCACAAGAAGAGCATCACAGTATTCAGTGCACTTAAAGTCAAAACAAAATCATTCCCTAATTCTCTGTAGCTGGGTCCCCTGCCTCCTCTTGTCACTAGAAGCACAGCAGCAGAGCAGAGGCAGGAGGTTCTCTGTGAGTTCAAGGCCAGCCTGATCTACAGAGCCAGTTCCAGGACATCCAGAGCTGTTAACACAGAGAAACCCTGCCTCGAAAAACAAAAACAAACAAAAAAGAATACTATATTGTAGCATATGTTCTAAATGGAGGCTTTTTAAAGTTTGTTGACACAGATTGAAGAAACAGAAATTTTTATTTCTTTACTTATTTCTATACATAGAAGTTTCTTCTTCACAGAGAAAAGATTTACTATGCAAAAAAAATCTCAACAGTTAATTAGCAAGAAAAAAAGAAGTCATTCACCTTCAGATTATTTCCTGCTAAATTCAGCCATTCCAAATGGACTAGGTCCTTCAGCCCTTCCATGCAGCCAATACTATTATGAGGTAAATTTAATACCCGAAGTTGAGTCAGTTTGGCCACGCCCATCATCCGAACCAGCCGATTATTAGCTACTGACAACTGTGAAAAAGGAACATTATTATTCCTAGAATCAAATATACATGTCCACACATATTACTTTCACATCATGGTAGATGGCCAAACATTCCCAAATAGCAAACCCAATTTATATATTTACACATATTGTTTACATTTATTACCTACAATATAACTACTGGAGTTTGTTGTTCTAATCAACAATACATATGTATGTATGTATACACACACACATATAGCCTGTTATGGGATAATCAACTGATGCCTGCTCCACAGGAAGGAATTCCTGTATGTTACTATAAACCCAGCCAAACACCCATGGCCGGGGATGACCTAAGCCTGTGAAGAAGCTCCTGATGTTTTTTGCTAAATGGACACAATGTACCCATCAAATTGCCTTCTAAATGACTACAAGCCCCACAGAACAGTGCTGCTGTCAGCTCTATTCAGAGCAGCCTCCTTTGCAGTGATGAGTGCTGATCAAAGCACAGGAAGATCATAAATAGGCGGGACATCTGTAACATCCCCTCCAAGGCTCCAGGAGTGTGGTGGGAGAAAGAGTAGAAGGAATGTAAGAGCAGGGGAAACGGGGAAAGACGTGGAATACTGACTTCTGGGTATGACACTGCTGTTGTGGGTTTTGTTTTGTTTTGTTTTTTTCCTGGAGGTGGGGAGTAGAATTTAGAAGGCCTTACTCATCCCTGAGAGTTACTAGGATTACTAGTTAATGGTTGGTGGAGGAGGGAAAGACATTTTCTTCAGTGGCGTAGTCACTGGTAGGGTGTCTATGCTCCTGTAAACAGACTCTCACTCATGCCCCTCATGAAATTTACTGAGTCACAAAAAAGGGTCTGGGAAAAAAGAGAAGGAAGAGTGACGGGAGATGTCATTCTGTAAATATGTTTCTCATACTGGTTAATAATAAAGCACTGTTGCCAATAGGAAAGCTAGATAGGCGAGACTAGGAGACAAGGAGGAAAGAGGAAGTGGTAAGGAGGAATCAAAATGGAGAGTCTGGAGAGAGCAGGACGCCAGCCGGCTCTCCGTTAAGATGAGACCATGTGGAAATACATAGATTAATAGAAATTGGTTAATACTTAAGACAGAGCTAGCCAATAAGAAACTGGCCAACAGCATTATATCAAATACGGAGTCTCGGTGTGTTATTTGGGGCTGGCGCGGTGGCGGGACCAGACCAGTGGCGGGCAGAAAAACAATACTCCTTACAGAAGAGGAGGAGGAGATATGAAAAAATAGAGACCACTGGAGAAGGATTAGAGGGAATAAAAAGGAAACGATAGAGGGCAATGGCAATGTTTGTGATACAAATACATTATATACATATTCAGAAATAAAATATATTCATATTCAAAAACCCAGTAGTATGCATAATCAACATATGCTTACACAAAGTACAGACAAAGCTGACAGAGGCTTCTGTCAATTACTAAAAACATCTATGTGTAGATGGTGGATGTTGGAGGGTGAGGGTGTGTGTGTGTGTGTGTGTGTGTGTGTGTGTGTGTGGCCTATGTTTATGTGTTGCATGTATGAGAGTATATAGATGCACATGCCCATCTGTATACACACACTATCTAGAGCAGGACTTTGGGTATCTCCCTCTAGTACTCCCTGCCTGATCCCTTTGAGACAGGCTCTCACTGATCTGGAAGCTCACCATTATGGCTAAGTTGGCTGGCCACATAGCTCTCAGCATCTGCCCATCACTGTGTTAAATGTAAACTACATGCCTCAGTCAAAACTAGGACAATGCTAGGTATACTGACAGGGACCAAATAAACATCTCTTTTTTGTTTGATTGTTTTGGTACAGTACTGACAATTAAACGTAGGGCTTTGAGAGTGCTGAGCATGTACTCTTAGCACTCAAGTACATCCCAAATGTTGGTTTTCAGGCATCTGTGCTGGCCTGTCTTTGGGGTTCTGACAGGATAAGCCTTCTAAGAGCACCACCTGTGCATAGTCACTATGTTCCCTTTTAAAAGTGCCCTGCCCACCTCCCATCCCTCCCCCTCTCTCCCTCTTCCTCCCTCCCTCCCTCTGTCGGTTCCCCTTTCTCTTTTCTCTCTCACTCCCCTCCCCTTTCCTCTTTATGATCCCTTTCCCTAATTTAAAAAAAAAAAAAAACCCTCTGCTTGAACCCTGTCTCCTGGCATCTTTCTCTTGAGTGCTGCTTTTCTTAAATTACAACACCAAACCCAACATTCTTGGATGAATAAGGTTTTTACCCATAATATGAAGGAAAAATTATGTTAACACAATATTTTGTCAACATATAATGTTCTCTTTGAATATATACATTTATGGGAGTAGAAAGATGGCTTAGCAGTTAAGAGCACTTGCTGTCCTTCCAGAGGATCAGAGTTCAGTTCCTAGCACCCAAATAAGGTGACCTACAACCAGCTTCAGAAACTGATAATTTCTTTTAGCCTCCACATGTACTCATACACATGTGGCACATATTCATACAGTGTGTGTGTGTGTGTGTGTGTGTGTGTGTGTGTGTGTGTGTGTGTAAATAAAAATAAAATAAACAAGAAATTTAAAGCCTGGCAGTACTGGTGGCAGTAGCATACACCTTTAGGAGGCAGAGGCAGGTGGCTCTGTGAGTTTGAGACCAGCCTGGTCTACAGAACAAGTTGCAAGACAGGCTCCAAAGCTACAGAGAGACTCTGTCTCAAAAACCAAAACAAAAAAAGAAAGAAAGAAAGAAATTTAAAATATTTAAAGAGCAGTGTGTCTGTCTGTCTCTCTGTCTGTCTGTCTCTCTCTCTCTCTCTCTGAGTATGTTCAAGCATCACACTTTCAGACACTCTTGAGCAACAGCACATATGCAAATGCCACCAACATATTCTCAGAAGTCGGTTCTCTCCTTTTGCTTGTGGCACACACATACCAAACTCAGGTCTCCAGGCCTTTGCCTAAGCACTCCCACCTACTGAGCCATCTTGCTGGCCCAGTTCCCATTAATTAATGAAGCTTCTTTTTCTAAAAGATCACTGTAAATGTGATGCATGTATCCATCTTCAGAAACTAGACTATAAAACTTTAAGGCAACATTTACTGCTTTTAAGGCATATAGAATAACTTCTTGGTTTCGTTTAATAACAGTCTTATGTAACCTATACCCACCTGTATTAACTGTTTGCATTTCTCTAGATTTTCCAGTTTAATAATCTGATTTTTATCCAGAATCAATGTGTGGACATTAGGGTCAAAGGGCATGTTGGGCCCTAATTTCTGTAGTCCCTGCCCTGACCAGTTCACCACTGATCCTAGAGAAGAGAAGACAACATGTTAGAAAGCAAATATAACAGCTGTGCTTAGCACTTTACACTGATGAAAAAAAAATGTATACACATTTAAAACACACCAGAACACAATAAATAAAAGAGTTTAAAAATTATAGCAGTCCAGAGCTGGGGTGATACATTTTTTCCTCAAAATTTGCAAGTTACGGACTCAGGGATAGCTCAGAGGCAGAGACCTTGCCTAATTTGCAAGGCCCTGAGGTTCCCTTATTTTGTATCTAATAATAGTGTTTTTTAAATAGGGTTTTAAAAAAGTTTATCTTTCCTTTCTTCCTTTCTTTCTTATTTGTTTTGTTTTTCAAGACAAGGTTTCTCTGTGTAGCTTTGGAGCCTCTGTAGACCAGGCTGGTATTGAACTCACAAAAATCCGCCTGCCTCTGCCTCCCAAATGCTGGGATTAAAGGTGTTTGCCACCACTGCCTGGTTGGTCTTAAATTTCTTTTTTTTTGAGGTGTTTTGTTTTTTCTGGGTTTTAGTTTTTTTTTTCTAGGTTTTATTTTTTTCCTTTTGTTATCCTTCAGGTTTTGTTTTGTTTTGTTTTTTCTTTGTTTTGGATTGGTTTTTTTTTTTTTTTTTTTGCTGTTGTTTTATTTTGTGTTGAGGAGGGTCTAAAGCTGACCAGGCTAGCATAAACTCTCTATGTGCATGAGTCTGGATTTGAACTCCTAATGTTTCCTCCATCTCCCAAATACCAGAATTATAGCTATCACAACACCAGGCCCTAAAACTGAATTTTTATAGAGATCAAACTGTAACCTAACTACAAGTATATCTTCAAGTGCCTAAAATAGTGTGTATGGTGGGGGACACATCATGCATGCCTGGGAAGGCCTGAAGAACATGCTGGGTGTCCTGCTCTGTCCTTTTTTTTTTTTTTTTTTTTTTTTTTTTTTCCCATTCTCTTGATGAACACTCTCTCACTGAACCTAGAGGCCTAGAGCTAGACTGGAAGCCAACAAGTCTCCATGCATTCAGGCACGCATCTGGGCCTCTTCGAAGGGACGATAGAGATTTCAACTCCAGCCCTTGTGCTTTTCATAGCAAGTGCTCTTACCCACTGAGCCACCTCTACAGCCCTCACTTCGTTTTTTGAGGCAGGGTCTCTCACTGGCCTGGAACTCATCAAATAGAGTAGGCTGATTGGCCAGCAAGCACCAAGGATCTGCCTCTATCCACCTTCTCAACACTGAGATTACAAGCTCCTGCTGCCAAACTCGACTTTTTCCTTGGGTTTGGAAATACACACCTTTAATTTTAGCACTGGGGAGGCAAAGGCAGGAGGAATTCTGTGAGTTTTAGGCCAGTGACAACTACATAATGAGACCCCTGTCGTGAAGAAGGAAAACAGTGAGAATATAAATATTGTTCTACATAAAAACATGAGATAATATAAGAAAAGTGCCCAAAATATCATCTGGCTTTTAAAAAGTGGCTCTGTAAATGCTAACTGCTGCTTGTCTGTTGTCTTGGAGAGCTGGCTAGAGGTTTAGGGAAAGGCAGCTACCCTAGGGGGCGGGGCCAGAGTAACTGCCAACTTCAAATTTACTATCAGACTGGGACTACCCTGGGAAATAATTTTTCGGAACTGCTCTTCTAGAAGGTTTCAACGTTTTTCTGTTTTCTTTGCACGGGAGGGGTCGTGAGCCGCTTCTTGAAAGATGAAAACTATGCTGTCCCAGAAAAGCGCACCCAGCGTTTGCACACTATTCCGAGGGGTCCACACACCTTTTAGCCGAACTCCTCCCCTCAAGAATTCAGGGTCCCCAGACGGTCAGCCCCGACTCCAGTCTGCTCCAACCCAGCCAGCTGCTACCTCGCCTCAGAGTGTAACCAAAACAAAAGCTCAGTCCTGCGCCCCATGGAGGCATCTCCCAGCTACAGGCGCGCCCCTCGCCTGTGCTCGGCTAAACAAAGACCAAACTCGATCCCTGGACCCGGCCTGCAGAATGACACGGGGAGCAACGCGTGTCCTGGTCACCCCCAGATTCGATCACGGGTACTGGCCACTTCCAAGGAAGAGTTCAGAGACTATGATGCGGTATCAGATAAGATGCTTCCCGAACGTTCTCGGAACCGATGGGGGGGGAGGGGGAACAGAGGAAAGAAAGAGACTCTGCCACTTTCCCGTGGGTACTCGGAACTCAAAGTAAACGCCACAGAAAGGTCGCCGCAGCCCGAAGTCCACTGCCCAGTCAGGCTAGGGAGAGCGCGGGACGGGGGCGCCAGGCACCGCGAAGGCTCCTGGGGAGTGAAGTCCCTCATCCAGCCTTCACCGCAATGACGCCAAACTGGACCTGAGAGCAGGACTACAACTCCCAGTAGGTAGTGTGCCTCCGCGTTACCTACAGCCCCGCATCAAAAGAACTGGTCCAAAACTGCACCTCTAAACCCAGGCTTCCTCTTTACCCTAAGCAACTAGGTAATATGACGTAGTGAGGTAGACTTTGGAGTTTAGGGATGGGAATCATCCTACCTTCTCCCGGAGCCAGAGCCCCGTCGGCTCGCGCTACCGCCATGCTTGCCTCTTGCTAATGACACCAGGCAACCGTCCTCAGCCGTTCTGTAGACTGTGTAGTCAGCAGAGGGGAACTGCAAACTACAACTCCCAGGATGCACAGCACTTAGCCGGCCCAATCGGCTGCCTGATGGGAATCGCTGCCTAGAAAAGTGAGTGTGGTTAAAAAAAAAAAAAAAAAAAAAAAAAAAAAGAGCTTAGGGGGACCCTGACAGGTGAGCAAGCTGCATCATTAGGTAAATCATTTCACACCAGGTCCAGGTGTTTGAGAAATCTGACACTTCTACCACCTGTCACATTATAAGGACGTTATTTAAAGTAAACAATTTGAGAGCTCATTGCTAGAAGTTTCTGACAGCTACCCATTTTGACAATTCTGAATTAAGTTTAAAAGGTTCGATTAGCTGTAGGAATGACTAAATATTTTGAGACAGTCAAAATGGATACATTGTACTTGAATTTTCACCTATTTAAATGGTTTAAAGCTTCAGAAACAGTTTTTACACATTTAACAGAGCTTTTGAGCAAGGACTATTTTTGATACATAAGTGCACAGAACTTTTTCTGGAGTATTCAAAAGAAATGTAAAGAGGCAGACAGATCTCTGCGAGTTTGAGACCAGTCTGATCTACAAGAGCTAGTTCCAGGACAGGCTCCAAAGAAGCTACACAGAAAAGCCTTGTCTCACAAAACCAAAAAAAAAAAAAAAAAAAGAAGGAAGGAGGAGGAGGAGGAAGTAGAGGAGGGGAGGAGAAGAAGAAGAAGAAGAAGAAGAAGAAGAAGAAGAAGAAGAAGAAGAAGAAGAAGAAGAAGAAGAAGTTCTTTAAAATAGCTTCCGAAGTGAAGAATACTTACTTTGCCTAGAAGGGCACAAGCTTATCCTTTTTTGATTTAAGTATGAGTTCAGTAAGATAGATAGTGGAAATTACAATATTTGGGTCTTTATAGGGGACGTGAAATTAAGCTAGGACTTAAAAGGTAGCTGGGTAGCTGAAAGGGATGAAAGGGAGCTCCCACTTTTTTCACCAGCCTGTGTACACACTGACTGCCACTCTTGCTTAGCAGGGCCTCTCCAAAGGCTGGGCATTTCTGTTCAGGAAAATCCAGTAACTTGGTCCCACTCTTTGGGCACATGATTCTAAAAGCATTTCCTCTTCCCTGGATTCCCCTTTTTTCTCTGACATCATTGCTCTTAAAGACCTTTTCTGTTTCCTGTTGGTTCAGTTTATAGACAACTTTTTTTTTATTATTATTCTGAAGAAATAATAAGGATTCCCCCTTCCTTGGAAAACAGTCATATATTTTTTTTATGTATAAATACAAAGTGTGACAGGCCTGGTGACCCACCTTTAATCCCAGAAGTTGGAGGGCAGAAGCAGGCAGATCTGTGAGTTGAAGATCAGCTTGGTTTACATAGTGAGTTTCAGGACAGCCAGAGCTACATAACAGAGGAACTCTAGCTGAAAAATGAACCGGAGTTACAGGCAGCTGTGAGCTACCATGTGGGTGCTGGTAACCCAAACCTAGTCCTCTGCAAGAGCAAGTGATCTTAACCACCGAATCAGCTCTCCATCCCTAGATATTGTCTTTAAACTCTAGCAAAATCATCCTTGAGCTTCCTTTGGGGTCTGTTCTTAATTTCTATCATTAAGGAGACTAAGAACTCCATGCATTCCCCTGTAACATGTGGCAGCTCTGGCAGGACTTCTCAAATTTTCCAGTAACAAAAACAAGTCATCATTTTAGGGCAGAACACGAGCAAAACCAAACACCAAAGTAAAATTTCTTCTCTTGACCTTGGCCAGAGCCATAATGTTCTAGGTTTCTGTCCTGGATCAAGAGTAGAGATGCCTGGCCAGGCGATGGTAGAATGGCATACACCTGTAAACCCAGCACTCCGGAGGCAGAGGCAGGCAAATCTCTGTGAGTTCGAGGCCAGCCTTGTCTACAAAGTGAGTTCCAGGACAGGCTCCAAAGCTACACAGAGAACCCTGTCTTAAAAAAAAAAAAAAAAAAAAAAAAAAAAAAAAAGCAGTAAGAAATTCTGGTAGCTGGACTGGTTTCTTGTTCTCTCTTCCTTTAAATAAGCATCCCTTCCTGGAGATACACACCTAACAGTGTGACCACAGCTCCAGTTCACAGTTTATCCCTTCTGGTGAACCAGTCTGGAGTTGGACCTCTAGATTTGCATGTTGAGAATGGACAGGACCTATTTCCTGATTTCGTCTCACCTCCTAAATTATTTTAGTATTTGGTTAGTATTTTGAGGGGGGGGATGTTATAGTTACCTTAGGAGACATCGAAGATGCCAGGTTTTGTTGAGACCCTTTCATCTTGGTAAAAAGAATGGGATGCCTCTGATCCTGAGTGGAGATATGACACTTTGATGGCTCCAAAGAGAAGAACATTAATTACATACTGATTATTGTTGCTTCCCTCATGAGTTAACCGAACTGGGTGTGATGGCACACAGCTTTAAGACGGCACTCTAGAGGCAGTCAGATCTCTTGGTCAACTTTCTCCATTCTGCCCCATACTGCGGGGCATAGCTTTCTCTCTCCCTCTTCTCTACCTCACTTCTCCCAGGAGCTGCTCATATTTACAGTTTGCCTGCCCTGTTGTTTTCTTTCTTTCAAATACTAATAAAATTGTCCTTAAACTTCCAAGTCTGAGTAAAGACGAGTAAGACCCCCCTAAAAGAAAGAACCCCTAGTAACATTATCAAAGAACCTTCCCTACATAATCAACTATCCCAGTTTACTGTTGAAGATATCTTTTATTTGTGTGTGTGTGTGTGTGTGTGTGTGTGTGTGTGTGTGTGTGTGTGTATGGAGGCCAGAGAGGACAGACCGTCAGTGTGGTTGTGAGCCACCAATATAGGTTCTGGGAACCAAACTCAGGTCCTCTACAAGTGCAGCCATCTCTCCAACACCCTGCTTTACTTTTGTCATCTTTAAGGGTGCCCCACTTTAATTCTGACAACCCTGACATTCCTTCATACCTGGAATGGGTTTTGAGGATTGTGGAGACTATAGTTCTGGGAGGGGGAAATGGAGGGCTCCGGATCTCTCCTGTTTAACAAAGTCATTGTCTAGAAAGGAGACCCAGGAATGTTAGTGGGTGCAGGTACTTTGGGAGCACAGACTTTTTTTTTTTTTTTCAGGTTTACAATCGTGGCTGGGAGAGAGCTTTGTGTGATTCATCTTTCCGGAGTTCCTCGGGAAAGGGCCCATAGGTTAGATATCAAATGACCCAGCAATTCTTTGCAGTCTTGAGCAGACGTGCTTTTGTGTTTCAGGCACCAATTTGACATCTAAAATCAAACCACTAACCTTTTAACTAAATTGCCTGAATATTAAGCCCTGCAATTTCTGAATGAGTTGTAGAGTTCTACGTATTAACCCTGCAAGCCTCTCAGAAAGGCTCAGAAAGTCTCTGCAGCCCAGACTCTACCTTCAGCACTGTGAATTTGATCCTCAGCTCTGTCTCCCAATTTCATCTGCCCACTGTTACGGGAATGATCCAAGCAAGACAATGCTCTTTAATCACATCAATCTCCCCCTCAGAAACTTCCCACTTGAAATTCCACTTCCCAAGGCCACACACAAGCTGGCCTCTGTCAACTTCCCATCTTTCATTAGGTTCGTCTTCATTTGGTGTCTTTCACTGAGAGACTGCCACAAAGGAACCTGTGTTTAGAAAAGTTCAACTGCCCACATAACAAAGATGAGCTGAAAGGTAGAAGAGCTCAGGAAGCAGACTCGTAATGGTGCACGGGAACTTCCGACAAGGCTCCAGGAGAGGATTATATACAAAGCTCAGATAACACAGTTAAGAGACCAAGTCAACACAGGACTGGATAGCATTTGTGTGATTTTTGAGAGAAGGATTTACTCTGCAGCCTAGTTTGGCCTCAAATTCACTAAAATAGTCCTGCCTCAGACTTCTGAATGCTAGCATTGCCACCGGGCCTGGATACATTTGTGGATACCGCAGTCTACCACACAAATGAGGGTGCTTCGGTAATTAGGATTGAATTTATCATGTCGGAAAGAAAAAAGTCTAACTTTGATGGTTGTAAGTTGTCAAGGAAGTTGTTGATGTGCCCACGTAGAGGTCAAAGAACTGTTGGGGGAACTGGTTCTCACCTACCACATGGGTGTAGGGGATGGAACTCAGTCTTGGCAACAAATTTCATCAATAGATAGATAGATAGATAGATAGATAGATAGATAGATAGATAGATAGAGGGCCTGGAAAGACGGGTCAGCAGTTAAGAGCACTTGCTGCTCTTTCAGAGAACTGGATTTAAGTCCTCAGCACCCATATCAGGTGACTTGGAACTCTGCCTCCCAGGATCCATCTTCTTGCTGCCACAGCCACCTGCATACACGTGTGCACACTCACTCACTCACACAGATAAAATACAATCCTTTTTTAAAGAATCCGGTCGGGGGGGGGGGTTGGAGAAATGGCTCAGAGGTTAAGAGCACTGATGCTCTTCCTGAGGTCCTGAGTTCAATTCCCAGCACCCACATGGTAGCTCACAGCCATCTATAACGAGATCTGGAGTTCACCCCAACATGCAGGCAGAACACTGTATATCGGGGTAAATAAGGATCAGGATAAACAAATAGGCCAATAGATGTTTATTCAGGGAGAAATAACTTACAACCTAGACAGATGAACACCAAGAAATTCAACCCGATCCTCTCCTGTCCGAGTCACGCCAGAAAAGAGAGCGCCTTCCTGGCCCCCTCCGACCTCCTTCCACAGGTCACTTCCGCCCATGGCTCCACCCCCCAATGGGTGTTCAGTGCTACAGAAGGACTATCTCACTACAACTGTATATATATAAAAAAAAAATCAGGTGGGTGGTGCTGGCATACTCCTTTAATGCCAGCACTATGAAGGCAGAGTCAGGTGTATCCTGAGGCCACCCTTATCTACAGAGTGAATTTCAGGACAGTCAGGGCTACACAGAGAAACCTTGTACTGGGGGGGGGGGATCAAAAGAATTACATTTCATTTTAC